ATATTGTATTTTATTTTAAGTTTCATATTTTAACCATTAATTTATTACATGAAAGCTTATTATTTTCTTATAGTAATAAACAGTTTATTGCGACGTTGGTGATCCTACTTGTGAGTGCGAAAAATGTGGAGCAATGATGCGGTATTTCTGAGAGAGTGCAAAAGGGTTACAATCCAGCAAACACTAGATTCTTTGTGTTACATGTTCTATTGAAGGGCAAGGTGAAATTGAAAGTCGGTGTTCCGATAATGTTGTTGAGAAATATAGATCAATCTTCTGGGTTGTGTAATGTAACTAGACTTATCATAACTCAGTTGGATAAATATGTTTTGGAGGTAAAAGTGATATCAGGAAACAATATTGGACAAAAGATTTTTATTCCTCGATTGTCCTTAATTCCATTTGATAAGAGAATTCCTTTCAAATTTTAACGTAGATAATTTCCAATAAATGTCTCCTTTGCCATGACAATAAATAAAAATCAAGGATAATCATTGAAGCATGCTGCCATCTATCTTCCACAACTTGTTTTCTCACAAGGCCAATTATATGTCGCAATATCTCGAGTCAATCTCATAGTGGTCTAAAAATTCTTATTTGTGACAATGTGGTAAATGGTTCAACCTCTACTACTAATGTAGTTTATAAAGAAGTCTTTTAGACTTTGACATAGGTAACTTACATTTTTTTTATAATAACATTATAAAAGGAAAACATGTCTACTTTAGTTCTAATTTTACCAAATTTTCAAACATTTCACCAAGTTTATTTTTCATGATGGATGTGTTCAGGAGTCATTACATAATTACTCTTTAAGGTAAAAATTTAATTTTGTTTTCTTAATTTCTATTTGAATTTCTACATCTTTATAACATTTTAATATTTCACCTCTTATAAGTTAATTATATAATTTTTTTCTTCAGGTTAATGCATTAGCTCATATTATAGATGTTGATGTTTTTTGAAGTTGAGACATAATACAATTAAATTTTTCTAATACTTCATATTATCATGTTTTTAATCGTTTATCATTGTCATTTTATTTGTATATTCAAATATTTTTTTCATGTTGTGTTGAATTCAATTAATTTTTACAATTATATATATATATATATAATTTATTAACTATAATAATTTATTTTTGTGCAATGCACGAACACAAATCTAGTATATATAGAAGTACACTTGTTAAAACAATAAAAATAAAAGTAGAAGTATTTCAAGTTTTCAATATATTAAATGTTTATATTTTCATTGATTTTATTTCATTATCAAATTTCTTCATAATTGCCTTTAAGAAGTTTAGTTTATCTTTTTAACATGCAGACAAAGTATTTTACATATCTATAATCTAATAAATCCATCCAATTGTAATTTAAGACAATCCAATGATAAATGGACTGGATAGGTTAGACAATAATGATTAATGGATGATTACCGATTCTTTCTTTTTTTTTTTTCTTAATATATTGAATTATTAAATCATTGAAAATGGATCAATTTTTTTTTTGACGTTGAATGGTCATATCTTCTTCACATTACTTCTCCATCACTATATAACCTTCCAATAAAATATTATAATTATTAAAAAAAAATTTAAAATATTTGTTTTAAATAAATAGAATTTACATCAGTTGATTGAATAGTGTGTGGTGAGTCGTTATAATTTCTTAATACTTAGTTTGACATACATATATATATATATATGAGGAAGAATCTTTTTATTTTAGGAATAAGTCTATCTAGACTTATTATGTTCAATAACTCATGTTTTACATCAAATTTCAACGATCAAACCATTCAATTCAAAGTTCTTAATACATAGATCAAATTTGTAAATTTTTAGAAAATTTAAAAATTATTTGATATTTCATTTCATTAATTCAAATTGACGGATAATCATAAAATTATTTTATACATTGATTCAAATTAATGAAACGAAGTATAATGATTTTCAAATTTTCTAAAATTTTACAGATTTGATCTATGCATTAAGAACTTTAAATTGAACGGTTGGATCGTTAAAATTTAATGTAGAACATGAGTTATAGAACGGAGTAAGTATAGGTAGACTTACTCATGGAGTAAAAAAATCATTCCTCTCTCTTTCTATATATATATATATAATAAAATTTTAAAATATAACTTAATTTTAAATAGATAAGTTAGATATTCATTTATAAAAAAAAAAGTCTATTAAATAAAAAAACTAATTTCATTCTCAATGCTTAAATAAACTTTTTTCTTCATAAACAGTACTAATCGAACATCAAATTCTTTACTAAATAAAGCACATCTTGTGTGAGGGTGGTGTTGCTAACTAGTATGCTAACCCACTGGATTTTTAAAACACAAATCATCAATGAATTAAAATTGAATGCCTAAAATGGGATTATGGTTGCAACTTGCAAAGGCCCTTAGGCATAGGCTCTTCAATGATGTTCTTAGATCATGGAGGCTAGTCGCATGAGCGTAATCATCTGTCATTGATAACAGCAAGAATAATGGGCGTTTGGTATGTACTGTTGATATTATTATTTGACGATCAAACCCGGCTATAGAAAGACATTCTATGGTAATTACTTATAATTAGGATATAAACATGCATGTGGTGGAAGCAAGACTTATATTTTAAGCATGCGATGCAATTATGAAAATAATAATGTTTGCACGTAGATACATGATTTTTTGTTTGAGGAATGTTATTTATAATTCAACTTATTGGATTACTATTTAATTTCCTATCTCGCATGTCACCTCACTAATAAGAAGGTTGTAATTTATGGCAGTCTAGTAAATATTTTGTTTGTGTAAGAAGTATATGTCGTTGAGACCTATATCAAAAGAAATTGAATAATAATAAAAGCTCATGAATTTAAAACAAATCAATAAATTATCAATTAGTTTAGGCTACGTCACCTTTTTTTTTTCTTCCTCTAGAAATAAACTTGGAAAAACTTTTAGAAAAATATTAATGATACACTTTCTCTCATTAATTGGCAGGAAAAGAATTATATCTTATATTTTAAATTTGAAGAATAAAAATAAATTTATTCTAAATTTGAGAGAATAAAATTATGTTTAATCTAAATTCATTTAATAATACGTTGAGTCGCACTGCTTATTAATATTGTCATCCATACCAACGATGTCCTGTAGACGATCTGATGCCACCTTGGCTTCCCTTCTTACTTCTGATCGCTGGGTTTCCTTTGAAATTATAAAATCAAATTTCAAAATTGTGTTTATAAAAAGTCTTCAATAAAAAAACATAAATATATAAACGGTCATGTAACTTGCTATTCACAAGTCACAACCATTATGTCATGAAATGATGATACATGATTAATTTATCAAATTAATTTTTGAAATTATGAACACAATTAAATTAATAATACTACAATTTAGTGTTTTTAAGAATTAAACTTTATGTTTATAATTTAAAAAATTAAATTAATCAGCCCTAATAATTTAAGATTTTGTAATTTTTTTTGTCCTATCATAAATATCATCAACTCATTAAATAAAAAGCTAACTCAACTAATTTTTCACCGTTCAGTGAGATAAAAAATTTAAGATTTATAATGTTACATATAATATATTTTTATTACAATATTTATCTGATCTCATATTTTTGTCTCTCTTAAAATTATACAAAATTGAAGTAAGAATAAATGAAATTAGTGAATGGCAAGTCCACCAAACGCATCTAGCAATTTCCATGTCCCATTGAAGATGATGAGTACTTACGGTACACGGTGGAGTGCTACGTGTCATGGATGCCGTAAAGGAAAAGGAGGGGAAGACGAGTATGCACACAACCTCATTAACTTGGGAACGAGGACGAGCAAGAGAGAAATTTATTGTTTGAGATTAGGGACAGGAGGAAATATTTAGTATTGGATTTAATGTCTTTAAACCCGATCCAACCAACCCAACTGTCTAGGAGGAATCAATGGTTACTTATACCTATTAACATACATTAAGGTACGAAAATGAATCTATTTTCACTAGGGGAGAAACCAAATAAGACGTTTAAAATTCGGAGAATCTTACGCATATAGATTAGGTGCATTACAAGTATTACACCAACTAACTAAATTTAATTTATGCACCGCCATAAGTGATTGGTTAGGTGCATCTGTAGTTTTCCTTAAAATAAAGGAGAAAAATGAAAGGTGGAAACATATAATGCATTATTTATTCTAGTCTACATCAGTAGCGTGCATTTGTATTCGGCGGGTCAGAAGTAAAATTAATGGAGCATACAATTAATAACTTTATCACAATTGACAAACTATAGTATTTGATGTAGATCTGGTAAACTATAGGGACACTTTTTCTCAAGATTATGGACCGGCTAATTATTTAATGAAGATTTAAGAAATCTGATAAGCTTATTTTAACTTTGATAATGGAGGGTGGGCATTGTCTAGGGCCCTATTTTGCATGTATACCGTAGGGATTGGAGTGGTCAAACCCATAATCGTGTCTCCCTCTCCATTTCTTTTTCAATTGGGATTCCCATCCTTTTCATTCCTTTCTAGTTTTAATTCAAAGACAAAGTTCCCGTTACAGTCAGCAAAGCAACCCCATTTCAGCATTTTGCGCCACTCTGTCTCTTTCTTTCTCAACATTTTGTTTGCTTTATGTGCATTTAATTAAAATCCAAACCCTAGGTCACTTCACTTTACTTCCCTCCCGTAACTTCATATATACACGCACAATTCCGGAATCTCGCTGTTCTATATTCTATATCACTAGAAATGCAGGTGCAGTGTATTCACATTAGCTCCAAATGAATTGGTTTTGATACAAGTAATTAAAATAACGATAGCACCCAATTAAGGTTTGAATTCTTGGTGATATGGATATATATATACAGACAGCAACCACAGTCTTATTTTATTCAAACGAGGAAAAGGTGTTGGGCCCACTCCGTTAGTTGCCGTATAATTCTTACTTTGGCTAAAGTGAGAAAAGATACTGTACAAGTTGAATTAAACAAAAAGCAAGTAAGTAATTAGTTTGATAATTGTAAATTAGTGTGATTCATTGTCGACCCAAAAACCAAGCACACAGTAAAAGGATGATATATCCTTCTGGAGAATTGACACAAAACGTACTGCAACGAAATTGGCAATGGTCTGAGGTGTTGGATTATTGGAAACGTGAAGAGAGTGTAAGAAAGTGATAAGATGAAATTTAGGGTGATGTTGAATAGTGTATGTATGGACAAACAAAATTGGGTGTGATTTACAAGCGTTAAAATAGAATAAGGTGTCAGAAGGGCATGATATGAGTGGTTTTGGTGTCGTAGCAAGAGAGGCAGGACTTGGAGTTAACCCGGAAGATCTTGAGCAAATCGGTGCACATTTGGCGCACGTGGGGCGCGCAATTGCTCTGCATCAGCAACAGAATCTTGGTCAAGCCATTGGCCTGCGTCACCGCCTCCTGCGCCTTGCGATCGCGGAAGAGGTAACACACGCTCCACAGCGTCGTCACCGCGTGCTCCGTCGCCGCGCTCGACACCTTCAGAACCTTGCTCAGCACCGCCGCCACGCACGCCGCCTCCTCGCATATCTCCCTCCTCCCCTCCCTCGTCGCCGACGCCGTCTCCACCACCTTCAGCACCTTCTCCACCGCCGCCGCGCCCAAATTCGCCTCCGTCAACAGCCTCGACATCGCCCTCACCGCGCCCAGCCTCACCAGCTTCGACTTGCTCCGCTTGGGCGTCGAGACCGCCACCAAAGCCGCCAGAGCGTTCTCGATTACCTCCGGATCTTTCTCCGGCGCCGCCAATTTCAGCAACTCCGCCAGCACGCCTTCCTTCTCCGCGATTAACAGCTTCGCCTCCGCGTCCGCCGCGACGAACTGCAGAATCCTAGCCGCGGCGATTTTCGACTCGGAGCTTCCTCGTTGCAGAACGAGAAGCAGAGAATCCAATCCGTGCTTGTTTCCTTTGAGCATAGAGTTTCTGAATCCGTCGCGATCTTCGATGCTGTCCAGAAGCAAAGCTAACAGGACGAGGAGTTGTTGGAGAAAGTCAACACAGGTCCCGGTGACATTGTGGAGGAGTTGATCGACGAAGCCTTCCGTTTTGGCGAGGAGGAGTTTGTTGTGGTGAGAGTGTTGGGCGAAGTGACGCAGCTTGGCGAGCGAAGAGAGGCTTAGGGATTGGGTTTGGGTTTGTAAGTCAGATAGGGTTGCGAGTGGTTGGGGGCGGTGAAGCGAATCGGACCAGATCTGGATGAGGCTGTGTAGGGTTCGGTTGGGGAGCAAGTCCTTGGTTTGGAGGAGTTGCATGGTGGCGGGGCAGGTGTTGTTGCCGGCGTCGAGCCAGCGTTGGATGCTGGAGCGGTCGTAGGTGACTCCGGTGCAGAGGCTGACAGGGGATTTCATGACGTCGAGGGAGATGGGGCACTTGAAGAAGGTTGGAACGGTTATGCAGAGGTCGTCTCTGAGTCTCACCATGGCTGAGTGAGGAAGAGAAAGGGAGTGGGGTGTTTAAACTTTAAAGATGGAATGGAATTGGAAGAGTCAAAGGTGGTGGAGATGGCATTGGGCCACACGTGCAGGGACTAAATAAATCTCTATCATCACCCCAACGTGGGATGCCGGGGACCACTAACCAATCACCCTTTCTGCATTTCACTCTTTGCTTTCACATTCACTTTTTTCTTATACTGTTTACTATTTTATCAATTCCTTACACACTGTCTCTTAACTTAACTATCAATGTTCTTAAGTACAGTAATAAAGACTGAACAGCGTACCGACTGTAATTTATCAACTTCTACGTTGTCCCCAAGTCAACTTTAATTTCAACTATCATACCTCATTAATACCTACTCATATTGCTTTCCACATTTTTCTACCTATCAATTCTATTTATTCATCATAACTATTCACTTCTTATCTGTTGCATTCAATCAATTCACTCCTTAAATTATGCTTTTCACACCTTTTTTTTTTCAGCCAAAAGAAACTAGAACATTATTTCTAAGGGTATCACAAGTCACAACCCTTTTACACGTTACATTTAATTAAATTAAAATAAAACACTATTTAATCATCTTTCTATAGAAACGTTACCAAGATCTGAATTTTATTAAATTAAATACATATTTTAAGTTAGATACTTCATTTTGAAAAATGATTCTTTTTTTATACAACCATAAAGATGGAATCGAGACAAATCAAACAAAACGATACCATTTCTATTTATCTGCCTTTCACTCTTATGTACAGCTACATTATATTAAATTTTCTTATGTACACACTTCTTACGTTGACCTTTTTGCGAAATTACGTCATCTTTGTTGAAAAAATACGTCTCACTGTAAGAAATATAGTTTACTAATAAGGGGTCTGTATACTGCAAAATTGTTTTGATAATGTACTGCATGTATTGACTGTTTGCATATTTATTTATTTATTTAGAAAAATGACGGATACGAATGAGTTATATATGTCCCCTCACGAGTCATGACTCATTATGTCTTTTTCTTTTTTGGCCCCGTGGGGGTTCTTTAATTTGACTCATTATGTTTTACAGTGTCATTATGGCACCGAAAGCAGTTCTTTAGCACAATTCTTACTCCCACCAAGAACTAGTCATTATCATCTTTCTCTCTTCTCTTATTAACTTTTTCTTTCGTGTTTTACGGATAAAAACTCAGCTTGGTAAGTTACAACTAGCCCTACTTTCACGCAAGAAACTGTAGGTAAAGAACGTTCACGTGCTCTACATAACTAAACCACCCCCAAAACAGATCAAAATAAATGTAATGTAATAAAGAAAAAAGATAGCTGGAAAAAACAAAATACGTACTCTTACATTATTAATTTTAGGATAGGGATTCTTTAATCTTTCGTATCAGAACTGATGATGAATTACGTGCATTAAGTGGTGTTTAATTGGTAGCGTAGAAGCAGCTGATTCGTGATGCAAATCTCAAAGACTCGAATTACTTAGATTTGCATGACAATGATATGAGAGTTCTTCGGCGCGTGCAATATTTTCAACGACGTGGACTTCTATCGTGAAATTTGACCAAACCTAACAAGCTTCCGTTTTCATCTTTTGCAACTTTGTTTGGATGATTCTCTTTTCGTTTTCTATCTATCATTTTAAGTGAATCCTCGGTATCGGTTTAGCGGTAGAAATTAAGTTAGGATAGTATTTCATATATATTATTGTTTATTTCTCTTATCTAAATATTATTGAAAATAAAAACGAAAAGTATTTTTGTCTTTATATATGCTATCAAATGTTGTCAAAGGTTTACCACTAGGCTAAAAACTATAGCTGATAGTCAGGACGCAACTTTTTTTACTTAAGAACGCAGCAGCCCAAACATCATGATTTGACAATGACTTGACCCACCTAACCTCCGCCACGAGACAATTGATGCAACCCGCAACAATATATTTTATCTATGATTTTAGTATGTGTCTGAAATAAATTTGTTGGGAGGGACATCTTAAACGATCTCATCATTTCGATCTTCGTATCTAATGGAATTAATCATCAACTTTCAACAAGAGGTAACCTTAGACAGCAAAAAGAAAAAGGATAATGATGAGAATGAGAAATGCACTGGTTACACATTTTCTAATACAATCATTTTGATTGGTTGAATTTTATTAAAAAAATATAATTTAGTGAGTTTTATACTTTATTTAATAATTTTTTTTGTAATATTTAATAATTTAACCGATGAAAATGTATATATTAATTAAAAGTATATTTTTCTCTCTTACAACTTACTTTCACTCTATTTTTCCCTATCTATCTCTATTTTTCATTTCTATTCATCACGTCATATATTATAGAAAAATACTAACAATATATCCTGTGACCCAGTAATTTAAACATATTATTTTTAATCGATTAAAATTTATTAAAAAATTTAAAATTTTGTGAATCTTACCTCTTATTTAATGTCACTCTCATGCTTTTATAATTTTTAATAAATTATAATCAATAAAAATATGTGTGTTAATAACACTCCTCTATATTATATCTATCACTTTTTATTTACACTTTTTTTCCTTGTCTAAATCTCTCTTATTTCCATTTCAATCCAACTTAAATAGGACGCGATTAACATTTTTCACTATCATAATAAGATGAAGGAATATTTTTAATAATTAAAAATATATATAAAAAAGTTATACACCAATAATGAAAATAATTAATTTTATACTTTTATTTAATCATAATTAAATGACTATAATTGAAAAATTTATTAATTTTTATAATAAATAACTAAAAAGTGATATAAACAGTTATTTGTAATCGATAATAACTATATGTAAAATATTTTAGACTATGATGTATAATCATTATCCTTTCAAAAATATATAATTATTTCTAATAAGTTAATATTACTTATCATGTAATTCTTGATTTTTTAAAGGTAAAAATCTTATTTTGGTCCCTTATATTAATTATTTATTTTAATTTAATCCCACTTTTATTTTTGGTCTCAATTGGGTCCTAAACTAATTAATTGATTTCAATTTAGTCCCAAATTAATTAATTGGCTTCAATGTGGAACTTCCGTCCAAATTATTTAAACGAAGTTAATTTTTGGCCACGTGGATACCACGTAGATGGATACGTAGATGCCACGTGGATGACCAATTTTTTTGAAAACACCTGGACCCAGAACGACCCGTTTTGGTTTCAGAACGGACCGTTATGATTTCACTTTTGGTGTGTTAATTTTGCAACTGAAACGGGCCGTTCCAGATGTAAAAATTAACACACCACCAGTTCTGAAACTAGAACGGCCCGTTCCAAAACTGAGAATATAATATTCTTGACTTAATTGTGTTTTTTATCGCTCAAGTATTATAATTATGCAATTTTGATCCCTAAGGTTTTAATTGAGTAATTTCAGTCCTTAAAAGATTACAGTTGTGTAATTTTAGTCTCACAATTTTTAATTGAACAATTTTAATCTCTCAAATATCATATTGTGCAATTTTAGTCTTTCTCATTAAAAATTTAATAATTTTAAAATTTTAATATATATATATATAATGTTTTAAAACTATATAATTGTTTG